TCCAGCAACGTCGTGGAGCTGATCCGCGAGCAGTACGACGCGATCTCGAGCTCGGTCGAGATGAAGGACACAGCCAGCAGCGCGATCAAGGTGAAGTACTTCTCGAGCTGCTTGGGCAACGGGCCGGCGGTCGAGACGTCGAAATGCGACGGACTGAAGGTCGGCACGAAGGTGGAGTTCATCGCGGAGATCGAGGTCACCAGCTGTCCGGCCAACAGATCGGAGTGGAAGCAGAAGTTTGACATTTATCCGGTAAGTCGAGTCATTCTGCAAACGTGATCGATCAATTGGAAATATACTAGTTGATTTTTTCAAAATTTTTTATCCTCTATATTTATATATAGGGTGTCCCGAAATTCGTGAATTGAAATATCAGAGCAGGAAAATCTTCGAAAAATTAAATAAAAAGTTATTTGTAAATTTTTAATTTAAGCAGTAGTTTTTGAAATATAAGAGATTAAATTTAGCCAATTATATATTACGATTAAACGGAAACATGTCCGTGAGTGCGTCGATAGTTTAGTGGTCGCGCACTTCACGCAAGTACTAATCTATAATTGGCTAAATTTAAACCCTTATATCTCAAAAACTATATTATATATATATCTTTTATTTTTATATACTTTACTGTAGAATCGTTATATATTAATCGAGCAATTTTTTTTCTTCTCAGGTCGGTATCAACGAGACTCTCACGGTGAACCTGGAGATGCTGTGCGACTGCGAGTGCGAGCGTAAAGGCCACATGTTCGAGGAACATTCGTCGGAATGCAACGGCATGGGCACGCTTAAGTGCGGCGTATGCGAGTGCTACGACGGATATTTCGGCAAGCACTGCGAGTGCAGCTCGATTCAAGAGATAGCCGGCTTCGACAAGCACTTCCAATTGTGCCGTCCCGACAACATCTCTCTTGTGGATTGCTCCGGCCGCGGTACCTGCACCTGTGGCCAATGCGAGTGCAAGGAACGAGAGAATCCGGAGGAGGTATGTATTTCCTAAATTCACTAACAGATCGACGAATTCTTATGTGGCGAACATTTTTCTTCTCTTCAACGTATACCTCTATAATCGCCAGATCGCCAAAATTTATTTATATATTTTTTGTCAATTGATATTTCAAGCAGAAATGCTTAATGGAAGAAATGTAGTGAGAAAATATATAAAAAAGAAGTAAAATTTAGAAACGAAATATAATAGATACGTGTAATTGTTACAATATTTGCGCGGAAAATCGCGACGTCACGAATTTGTATTCTTAAAGAAAATATCGGGACATTTTTCTTCTCTTCAACGTATGCATTTATAATCGCCAGATCGCTAAAATTTATTTACGTATTTCTTGTCAATCGATATTTCAAGCAGAAATGCTTAATGAAAGAAATGTATGGGAAAATATAAAAAAAAGGAGTAAAATTTAGAAACGAAATATAATAGATAAGTGTAATTGTTACAATATTCGCGCGGAAAATGCGACGTCACGAATTTGTATTCTTACAGAAAATATCAGGACCTTTTTGCGAGTGCGACAATTTCTCCTGCGATCGTGACCAGGGTAAGCTGTGTTCTGATCATGGCACTTGCGAGTGCGGCCAGTGCGTCTGTAATTCTGGTTGGACCGGACCGTCCTGCAATTGTAGGTCTTCCAATGATTCTTGCATCGCGCCTGGAACCACGAACGGTGTGCTCTGCTCAGGCCATGTAAGTGTGTGACAGCAAAGAATTACGTTTTTAATCGTTATAATTATAAAATTTTACTAAAGGCTTAATATACGCTAGTCAGCCGACGCAGGATAAACTTGCCTATAAATATAATATAAACATATATAAAAATATACAAGATGGCAATAATATAATATACTATAATTCTCGTTAAAACTTCGAACGTTTAATAAAGCTACGTTTATTTCGCTGAAGATGACCGCGTTCATTTAAGATCGAAACGTTCGGATTTTTAACGAGAATTATTATTGTCATCTTTTATATTTTGGTACATGTTTACATTATATTTAGCAAGTTCATCCTGCGTACTAGCTCTTATCTTCATATTCACTGTTTTTAATCTTCCTTTTCCGACATAATTTTAGTAAAAGTACAGTTAAATATAATTATATTTATACTCTCACGTTATAGCTGTTTAATAATTAATTAAAGAAGAGAGCTGTGCGGTTAAAAGTTTAGAAATGTTACGAAAACTAGAAGAGATTTATCGCAAGACACGTCCTGTCATCGTTTTCTTTGTGAAGGGCGACTGTATTTGCGGTGAGTGCATTTGCCACGAGGAGGGCAGCATTCGATACTCCGGCAGGCACTGCAACAAGTGCCCGACCTGCCCGAGTCGCTGCGAGGAGCTGAAGCCCTGCGTGCAGTGCCAGATGTACGGCACCGGGAACTACAGCGAGCCGGAGGAGTGCGCGAGGAACTGCAAGGAATTCGTGCCCGAGGGCGTGGAGACGGTGATCGTCGACGTTGACAACGACGAGGTGCCGTGCTTCGGCACGGACGAGGACGACTGCAAGTACAACTTCGTCTACTACTACAAC